AAAAAAAAAAAAAAAAAACACTCCAGCAAGATGGAAAGCAGTAGTATTCATCTTGGCCCCAGAAATGCATTGTCACTTAAATGGGTTTGAGCACCTGACCTTCAAGCCATTATAGAATCCATTTGCCTTTGGAAGTTGGGCCAGATTTGTTACACCCATTGTTGTGGCTGGGGGATATCTTATGGGACATTCCTGCCAGGACTACTCAGAGTCCAAAAAATCATCCAAGCAAAAAAAAAAAAAAAAAAAAAAAAAAAAAAACATCCAAGAACATCAGCTAGAAGAGACCTGCAAAACGACCCTTACGGCATCATCTCCTCAAAGTTTGGAGGAGGCTCCCTTTGCTGGAAAGGGTAGCCCCCTCTCTATGGGAGAGGACATAATGAGGCAACCCCACTTCAGAAACAAATATACTACAGACCTGAATAGCCAGACTTTCCCAATCCATAAGTTTGGGTGAAGAGTTTGATAGTTGAACCCGGTCTCATTCCGGGCCAACTTAGCAAAGGTACAAGTTATCTGGAATGCGGCCGAGAAGTAAAGGTAAAAGATAACTGGAATGCGGCTGAGAACAGACAGAATAGCGTGCAGAAGATGAGAGATGAGGTGTTTGCCGAAGTACTGTCTCATAAGGCAGAAGACAGCATTGACGACCTCGTGACTGCTATCCCTCTGAAGGGGGATGCCATTCTTAGGAAAGGCCCTTCATTTGAGGAGGGTGTTTGGGTTAGGTGGCAAGGGCACGGGGGGTCGGTGGGTCAGGTGCATAAAGTTAGAACATGCACGCATTGCACGGTGCTGCAGGAGAGATTTGGGGTCAACAAAGGGGGGTATTTGTCATGATTCTGCTTTCAACCCTCATAACATTCATGATTGGCCCATTGTGAGCTCTCGCATCTCTCTTTGTTTCTTCTTTTTTTTCTTTTTTTTTTGTTCTCATCCACTGTTTCTTTGCATACATAAATATAAACAAGGAGGATGCCCACCGCGACTGTGGAGGGGACTAAGAGCAGGGGAACAAAAAAAAAAAAAAAAAAAAAAAAAAAAAGCTACGCCCATGCTATTCCCTTAAAGATAGTAAGGGATATATATTATTATGACCCTGTCTCATTCACAATGCAGAACAACTTTGAGACGATGCAAGACTTGCTGAACTCTGGGAGTATTAACGTGGGGATGGGGAGGGTAGGTGGCCTATCCTGTCAGGACAACCATTGGCTGCCGCTACTAGCAATCACCGTGGGTCTGGTCCTTGGCCTCTACAACACCCTGGATTTTTAAAAAAAAAAAAAAAAAAAAAAAAAAAGGGGGTACTTACGCCGGAGCCACAAAAGCGAGTTATAATTGCACTATGGGCCAAGATACAGTTTGCAATTGCAGTTCGGGCACCCTACCTAACCAGAAAGCTAGCTTGGTTGTATACATTCACCCCGAACTGCAATTGCAAACTGTATCTTGGCCCATACTGCATTTATATGACTCTTTTTTTTTTGTTTTTTTTTTGTTTTTTGTAACTCATTTTTGTGACTCTGGCGTAGTAACTTTCCCCCCACCAAAAAAAAGTGTGAAACGAGATAAAGTCTGCAGTCAGAAGAAGAAGACAAAGAAGAAGAAATACACGAGTTCAAACGACTGCCATCTCCCTCTCTTCTCTCCCAACTCCTCCATCCATCTCCTACAACATCCTCCTCCTCTTCTAATAACTGTTTGGCAGGGTGCAGAGTTTTGAAAAGGCCTGAAGTGCCCAAAGGACTGGGCGCAGAGTGACAACTCATAATGGACCGCGCGCAATGCTGAGAGTTTGTGTCCAGGTTCAGAGCATGAGTCTTACGGTCTCACCCGAATAGAACGCCCGGTCACTATAGCCGTATTTGGTGCACTTTTCAGTCCAGATACCGCTATAATAACCCGCGATCTATTTGGGTGAAGACGGTATTAATCGGTAATAGACTCTAAGGAAAGCGAAAGCTGTCTCAGTCAGTCAGGAAGAAGTTGGAAATCATTGTGATTGCATAATCCAGAAGCTGTCGCTCCTACATTCCACATCATGTCTTGCCTCCGTCGCCTTGTCTTTTTTTTCTTTTTTTTTTTTTTCTTTTTTTTTTTTTAAGAACTGCCCGAGGTCGTGCTAGGGGTGCTGATAGGAGCAGGCACCGCTAGCATACCAGGGTAGGCTCCATCTATTGGTGGATCTTTGATCGGTCTTTGGGGAAGGAAGAGAGTCGTTTCCGTACGGCGGTGGTGGAGAAGATTCAAATCACATGACCCTGAAAACTTTGCTGACTTTTTTTTTTAAAAGAAACAACCCGATCGAGAACTAGAGGGGGCCGCGGGGGGGGGGTGCTGATTGTGCAACAACAGCTTGTTACTTGCTCTAACAGCTTCTTACAACTTCCATCTTTCATGTGTCACAGCTTTTCACGGTTTGTAAACTTTCTCTCATGTCTCTCACAGCTCCATCTAACTCCTTTTTCGTATTTTTTGTGCGCCTGATCCACAATTGCATTGTTGTCTACTAGAGGTTTGCTTGGTATGAAATTCCTATGAAGTATCCATGAAGTTGCCATGAAGTTTCCATGATCTTGTCTAATGTGATGTAAGCATTTGTGTGTTGATTGTACTGGAGGACCTGGAGGTCCGTAAAATTTGGTGCATCGTTGAACCGTCATTCGCAACAATTTCTAAGACCATATAGTTTCCAAAACCAAGTGGTGGCGCCGCGCTGGAGCCTTTGCTTCTTCCTTTCTGATATTTACAAAATTTTGTACGTTTTGGATATGCCATTTTCCTTACCCTGCCGTATTTTGTTTTCTCCTTTTGGGTTTTCAAGCAAGTGAGAATTTTTCAGCCTGTGTTAGAAAAAAAAAAAAAGAAAAAAAAAAGGAGAATCGTCAATTCATCGGTCTCTGCCCAAAGCATGTTTGCAACCTCCTCAGTGCGAGAACCATGACCTGAGTACCAAAAAAAAAACAGAAAAAAAAAGAAAGAACCATGATCTGAGTATTTTGTTTTCTCCTTTTGTTTTTTTTCTTTTTTTCTTTTTTTCTTCTCTCAATTTCTGTTTCTTTTTTTTTTCTTTAAAAAAAAAAAAAAAAAAAAGCTATATTYTTCTCTCAATTTCACCTCACACTACCTACCTACCACTACTCCTAATTGTAGGCATACGGGGAACCCCGTATACCTTCCACTACCTACTCCTAAGACTATCTAGAGGGGACCCCTGCAAGCATAGTTTCCTCTCTCTGTGAAGGGGAGATTTCATGTTGCCCCTTGCCCCTAATGGTTAGGGTATAGGGTTGGGGCCGCCAGTGGGGGTCTGGCTAACACAAAGACCAAGACCTGCCAGTAGTTGTGCCTCCCTTTCTCATCGTCCCCCACCCTTCATCGAGTAGCAGCAGAGGCTATGGCCAACACTCTCCCACACACCACACACAACCCACTCGCGCTCACACTCACACCCGTGTTGGTCAAGTGAGAATCTTTTAGCCTGTGTTAGGAAAAAAAAAAAAGAAAAAAAAAAAGAAGGAGAATTCAAGAATTGTCAATTCATCGGTCTCTGCCCAAAGCATGTTTGCAACCTCCTCAGTGCGAGAGCCATGATCTGAGTACCAACGGAAAAAAAAAAAAACAGAAAAAAAAAACGAACCATGATCTGAGTACACAGACAAGGACGACCAACTCAGGTGAAGAAGAGGTACCAAAAACAAAGCCAAACAAAACTCGCAGCAGCAGCGCTTGTTGACAGTCGCCTCGCCTCCTTTATGCGTGTTCCCTGTTCCCGTCGCATGCATGGGATGCACATCACCCATGCACGGGGACCACTTGCTGGGCTCTATTCACCCACATCTAGATCTGGTCTCTGGGCATTTGAAGTGAAATCAGTGGTGGCAATTGGATGATTGAAAAGGTACCCGGATTTGAGAGAACATGAACATAAAACAACTGAGAGACATAAATTTACAAACAAACAAAGTACACTCGCGTCTAATCCTTGATTTGAAAAAATGGACATTAGGTGTGCCAATCCAGGAGATTCTATGAGCATCAGACATATACAAAGTTCACCCAAGTTTAATCCTGATTCATCAGATCCTATGTGTCTGGCTTATATCTACGGCTTATATCTACGACTTATATCTACGACTTATATCTACGGCTTATATCTACGGCTGGTATCTACTAAGAACTGGTCCACAAGGACGCGGTTCTTCTTTCTCCGCTCTTCCCTTCTCCCACTTCTCTTTCTGCTCCTCTTGCTTCTTCTCCTCCTCTCTCCATCGCCTCATGCTGCCATCTCTTGTCTTCCTTCCTTCTGTCTCTACTCCCTTTTGTTCTGCCCTGCACTGCCTGTCAAAGAGGCACATCAACAAACCTGTGTCCTGGGTTTATCGATTTCCCTCCTCTCCTTTTGCAGCTACCTTCTCCTCTTCATCCTCCTTTTCACCCCTCTACTTTCCTTCTCCTCCTCCTACAGCTGCTAACTGCTCCATCTTAGTGTGCATGCCCATCCTGATATTTCATGCCCATCATCCTGATATTCATGCCCATTCCATCTTACTCTCATCCAGTCCATCGATCAATCGATCAACCAAGCAATCAACCAACCAATCAACCAACCAATCAACGAATCAAGCTGATTAAACGCAGTCATTACGAGACAAAGGACCACCAAGTCAAACGACGACCAAAATTCGATCAATCCATCATCGATTACCAATCACAGAAGTATCGAATGGAAGCAATCTACCTCCGGATCAAGATCGGCAATCGACCCAAACACACTACACGACTAGGCAACAACCAAACAGATAATAATATCTTAATTACTACGTAATAGACTTGTGACCAATCATTGCTTCATGGCATTACATCCCCTTTTTAACGACGATCCATCCATCGATTCGTCCATGAGACCTCGACCGATCAATCATCCCTCGCTGGCCCCTCGATACACGTACGGCGTGCACGTATCACTTGCCTATAGCCGCGCAATCTATCGGTGCTTCCCTCAGTGTCTCTGTGCTACACAAGGCAAGATTCTGCCCCATTCTATGAGAGGTATCCACCCCAACCCCCGCCTCTTCTCCCTCTCACCTACAGAATCCCCACATGCACTACCCTTCTTTTCTCAATTGCTCTCTCTCTCTCTCTCTCTCTCTCTCTCTCTCTCTCTCTCTCTCTCTCTTGTCTACCTTACCTCCACCCCCCACTTGCCGCTCGCACTACTTTATAACCCATTACACTCTACACTACCTCGGTCAAGACGGCTGTCGGAGCTTTGTGTTTTTTTTTTTTGTTTTTTTTTTTTGTACTTTGTGGTTTTCGTCGTTCTGGGCAGTCAGTACTTCGATTGACGGCACACAGAAGATTCAAGGTAGCGTAGAGTGTAATGGGGTAAAAAGTAGTGCGAGCGGCAAGTGGGCGGTGGAGGTAAGATAGACGAGAGAGAGAGAGAGAGAGAGAGAGAGAGAGAGAGAGAGAGAGAGAGAGAGAGAGAGAGAGAGGAAGTGTAGTGAATGTGGCCATTTCGTAGTGTTTGCGGGTCTGTTTCCGTATTGTTTCGCTTGTTTGTTGGCTCGCTCTTTCTCTCTCGCTTCTTCCAATCATCCCCACTCGTTCACATATACATTCCCTGGATTACCTCAAGTCATTAACCGCTCGATTAGAGCGGTTTGATCGAGAGAATTGATTCTCGTGCTTGATTGATTAACAGCTCTTTCTCACACTCAGTGCTGCTTGATTGTTCAGTGACTGAATCATTGCCTTGATTGATTAATTGATTGATTAATTGATTGATTAATTGATTGATTAATTGATTGATTAATTGATTGATTAATTGATTGCATTAGGCGGGGCATGTAGGCTGATGCTTTCGTCCCGCGCCGCACGACACGTAGACGGCGATGAAACGTGGAATCTGATCAACAAGAGGAAGAAGAAAAGACGCGAAGAGAAGAGGAGAAGAGGAGAAGAGGAGAAGAGGAGAAGAGAGAAGAGAGAAGGAGAGGATTAGAGAAGGAAAAGGGGGTGAGGAGGAAAAAGAGCAGGAAAAAGAGGAGGAAAAAGAGGAGGAAAAGGGGCAAAACAAGACAAGGACAGGGGTTTATTTTTCTGGGAACTTTAAGTTAATCATCATATTTGATCAGAACACGTCTTTCTCCATCAATTCAACGCCGCAACAGATCAAAAGCCTCTCACTAATACTCTCATCACTAATACTCAAATCTTCTGGGAAACCCGAAAAAGCATACAGAACGGCGCCAAAGCTTTACAACCTCTCCACTGCCACAGCATCGGGGGGAGAGAGAGAGAGTGAGAGAGAGAGAGAGAGAGAGAGAGAGAGAGAGAGAGAGAGAGAGAGAGAGAGAGAGAAACAACAAAGACAAAAAAAGACTCGCTCTCGGCCCCTCTTTCAACCACTCCTCGAAACCACGTCACACACACACACACACACACATCGATCCCCTCTGTGTTGTCGTGGTCGCTATACACAACTCCACACCAAACGCATGCCTGTGCCAGACCTGTTTCGTCGGCCTTGCCCTGTGTGTGTGTGTGTGTGTGTGTGTGTGTGAGAGAGAGAGAGAGAGAGAGAGAGAGAGAGAGAGAGAGAGAGAGAGAGAAAGAGGTGTGTGTGTGTGTG